ACGCTGGTCATGTGAGACCGTGTTTCAGACCTTGAGCATCTAATGAGTTGTGAAAGAGGCTCAGGTGGTGAGGAGCTGAGGAATCAGCGCAGACAGGCGGCTTGCACCGGCCCAGCGCCGCAGAGCAAACCGCTTCTTCGCCGCGCGTCGGCTTCTGCGTCCGCCGCGGGCTCGAGATCCTGCATTTGGAAAAGGCCTTCCCCCCTGCGCGGACATGCGCGCGCTGTGCTTGCTGCTGCTGATGATGATGATGCAAGTGAGAGGACGGTTTATGGTAGTAGAGAAGTGCTGTGGCGCCTTCAAGATGCTCTCCAGTGACGGGCAGTCGTGCGTAGACGCCCCCTGGCCACGCAACCCCTCGATTCAAGAGCGAGCTAAGTCAGGTTTCTTTAAGTTGAACTCGAGCGACGCGCCGTGGGTGAGGCGTTGGTTGCCGCCCGGCGTGCCTATCCGCCGCGTGTCGGCGGTAGGGTTCACCTTCCTCAAACGCGACGTCTCGAGGTCTGTGGTGCGGGCGGTGGCGACGTCGGCCGAGTGGGACGAGCGCCAGGCGGAGGCTGAGGGCGCCTCCTATTGGCGCCACCGCGGCGTCGTCTTCGATCCATTTCGAAGTGTCCTGAGGCCCGATTCCTTCAACGTCTACTTTGGATCTCACCAACTTGAAAGTGGCTGTGTCGACGCGGCCCAACCACCTCTCGCGCCCTTTGCGCTTCTCATGGAGCCGAATTGTGACTTGGACGAATGCATCACCAAGTGCTGTAATCCACGTAAGGTGATGGAGGCCAACGGACACGGATGGACGTGTCAAAACGATGTACGGGGTCTCTGGACGCCCGCCAACTCGTCCTTTGCCAACTTACTGCCCCAGCATTTGAAATTGGATTTTTTAAGGTTATTTTACAGAAAGCAACAACTGCTATCGGTCCTCAGACCATACAAATCTTATAACGGTGCAAAATGATTAAACTAAAGATTTATTGAATACATCTGTTATTATCTCTTGTTCTTAGATTTCATTAATGATTCATAAGCAAATAATTAACATTTCAATTAGCGCGTAGAATGCTAGTTTTCAACGCGCACAGATTGCACAAACTAACCTCCCGTAGATATTGGAAAAATAGAGGATGTATTAGAGTAATCGTTACAAATTTCTAGGGCATACTGGAGGTCGAAGATAACTTTTTGGCCTGTGGAAAGTTTCACATCACATAGTTATATTGGCATGCAAAGTGTGAGCTGCTCTTTGGCAAGTCATGTTTTGACGAAGTGAAAGAGGTTTGGTGTACCTGCCAAAAAGAAATGGATGAAGAGATAGGCTCTGAGTTAGGATCAAATCTCAGTGTAATGTTAGAATCTCAAATTTAGTACTACGTGTACTTTGTCAAAAAGTTATCATCTTTAACCCCCTACAATGCTCTGTAAATTTGTAATATTTATTTTGAGACATTTTGTGTACTATATTTTAAGTAACAAAAGGTCAAAAATAGTAAAATACTTCAGTTTTACCTAACATTAGCCTACCTTTACCTAGCGAAGAAGTAGGGTTGATTTTATTGAGTGAGGAGGGAGGGGATGCCTGGAGTTCCAGAAGCCACTGACTAGGGTTTCCACTGTTCATGAAGGCCCTGTGTTCACTGTCTTCGTGCAGTATTTGAAGGGATAAATACCTAAATTGTTACGTTTCCTCCAAATCATTACAATTCATGATACATCAGAATAAATGTTACAAACTTCTAGGAAATGTATAGGAGATGAAAATGATCTTTTTTGCCAACAAGAATGCCGAAAATATAAACAAATAAGTCACAAATGTGATATTTGCCCCTCATTGGTAGAAAAATTATGCACAGAGATACTGACACAGTCAAAGAGATTTCGTTTACGTGCTGCACATCGGTGCATGATAGGTAAAAGCCTCAAAGTCATGGACAAATATTACACGCACTATATCTTCTTTATATTAATTTTCCCACCACATTTTCCTTTGGTACAGAGTTATCAGTTTCGCACACTTCACGTGCCATAGAACTTCATTTATGTGTGTCAGAAGACATTTATCCTGAGACTCCTGTATAAATATTCTCAATTTTACTGAGACGAGGAATACTTTCAATACGCAACGCATCTACTCTTTTTGTTGTGGTCCAATCACATTGCATTTCTAAAATGGAAGAATACAGTTTTTAAAAATCTACTAATGAGTAATACTTCCGGATACAATCGTCATACCCATGCAACACGACATATTTACTTGTTCTTCCTCATAAATTAATCAATTCACACATGAAAATCATAATCTCTTCCCAACATTTTAACTATAAAGAGTTGAATAGTGGAAAAAAGTTTCAAAAAAGCAAGGTTAGCAACATTTGAAAATTAGTCAGTTTTGCTCCCGTCAAACTTATATGCCTAGGTAAACGAATTGCAAATTTGATTCTTTTTTATTACTAACAAAATTATAAACCAGACCCCCGGCTCTGTTACAACGACTACTAGCAAAAAGAGAGCTCAACAACAACATTGCGTGCGCATTGTGAAGCCACTGCTGTGTCATTATGCTGTGATGGTTTCAGTCTTGCTTGCCTTACTTCTGTGATATACTGTGTTATTCTTCCAAATTGGATAAATGTATCATAGATGTGTTTTAAATTCCCAGATCAGCCATGGGTTGTAAAGTACGAGTTCGTACTCTCCGCCTAGACCCCAGGGACCCGTGGGTGTCCCACTTAGTTCGACGCAGCATCCACGACTTCCTTTTCTCTACCTGGAGGACATGTGTGGACTACGAACGCCTCGAGAACGGGACCCTCGGCGAAACGATCTTCTATTGCCCTGAATCGCGAATTACCAGAGGCGTCTATTGGCTTCTAAGACCTTTGAGCTTTCTGTCTGCTCTTTTTCTAGCAGTTGCTCTGCTATCTATTGTCTGCAACAGTGGCACGCGCTTTAAAGCTCATGGCTTGTGCCTAGCGTGTCATTGTGTTTGTCTCCTTGCGTACAACATGGGGCAGATGGCGTATTACCTAACAATAAGCGACGAAATCGACTACTTTGTTACAGTACCTCCCCATCTCAAGAAGGCGTGCATACAATTTGGTAAAGTATAAACGAACAACTTTTACACGTACAGTAATTTTGTGAATTAAATATTTATAAAAATAGGTGTTACCTTGATGCATTAAAATGTCTACATGACGCCAAAGAAAAGGTCTCACCGCAAACTCGTCTCATGTGTGTTTCTGGTATCAGCGTTGCCGATGTACTTTCTATTGATAGCCGCTAACTCCTGGCTCATGGCATTGTGTTTCAACATGGCTTTGGGATTCGGGTAAGGAAAGACAAAAGATTGAGTACAGCATCATCTTTGGCGTTGTGCAATTATTTTGGCGGTAAAGTTTAGGAGAAAATCACAATGGGGCCCGATATGTCTGCTTGCAGGAAACTGCAGGTGCCGCGTCCAGGCTCCAGCAGAAATCGATGGAGATTCCTGAAAATGTCAGCCTTTGCGTGGGGGCTGCCCGCTCTCTTGACTTGCTTTTGTGCTTACACGTTTAAGAATGACGTATCATCACGGAAGTGGTACAATCCATCTCTAATTGAAACACGAACGTGCTACAATGAATTGGCTATTTCTGGCCCGAAAGGTAATGTTTTGCACATGTCATGATTTCACAGATTTGTAGATTTTTTAAACATAATCAATCACAGAGATTTATATAACCACCATTCTATTATTTGTAGAAGTATAAATTTGAAAAAGAAAGAACTTACATCAATACCAGTATTTTTTATTCAACTCGTACTTATAAAATACATGATATCGTGAATTAGGGTAATACTTCTGAAATTATTTCATATAATTTTTACGTGGTAAAATGTTAACCATAATTTCTAACAAGTTGAAACTAAATGTTGATATATAAACTATTTTGAAACAGTTTACGAAGATTTAATTTCTACACGTTATTTTTACAAGTAGGGTTAATATCACATATTTTCTTTATATATTTTTTAATGAAAAGCAATTGCTAATGTATTTCTACTAACAGTGTGATTACGATTTTATATCGAGTTGAACTTTCTCTATTGCTACATGTTATATTATTTTATTCTGTCATAACTTATAACATTTAAATTTTGCGACATCACCATTCTGCATCCCGCAGCGCTCCATTGCAACGCGCAAGCGGGATTGGAATGCCACAGTCCCACAGGACATGATGTTTCAGAAAGGTCTAACATCGTGTAAATCTGAGGTTTTTTCTTTGGCAGATTTTCGAAAAATGTTCCTTTACAAAGATACAAAAAAGTGTTCTTCATACCGAAATGATCCAATACACCAATACAGGACTTGGCAGTAAGTGTTCTCATTTCCTCAACGTTGGGTTTCATTGATTGCGAAATGTATGCATGGTTTTTGCGATACGAGTTTGAATTCATGAAATTAGACCTCATATTTGTCACACTCCGCAGCAGAACAAAGCGTAGAGAAGTCACTGTCTGAGCGCCGACCCACAGATGGCGTGATCTGTACTTTCACTTAAATTCATGTTCACACGTTCAATCAAAATTACGGAAAAACGACTCCGACAGAAAAGTTGAATAAAGATGCAATATTGAAGAACAGATTTCGCGAAGAAAGATCTCTCTTATCTTCTATAACGTAGTTTAAGGAAATTAAACTTCAGAATTTTCGAAATTTTGGAGGTTTTACTGAAAATTGAACCAGTTTCATTTTCATAAGCGTACATTGCTCCATTATAGCAAAAACATTTAAACCGATCAGAGCAGCCGGCCGCTAGAATTATTCTTCAGACTTTTACTGAATTCGCTCTAGTTATAAAGATAGTGTCAAAAATCTGTCACCGTCAGGACTCGAACCTTAGGACATCTTAGTCAGGAGCATTGCAGTGGTAACAGAGCTATTTCAGCCCATCATTTCATTGTTGTTGTTTTTCGATTTCTACACGACCAGTATATTATTATCAATTTTTTCAGTTGCGTGGAATTTGATGTCATCTATAAAGTCTGGTGCAGCGCTCTTCTTCTATGGTCCTATGTGCCTGTTGGTCGTAGTCAACGCTGTCTGCATTACACACACCATGAGGAAGGTTCAGTTCCTCCAAAGAGGCAACTCCGTCCTTCACAGAGAGGACGACAAAACCTCCAGAGGGCGCCGCCAAGCAGAGGGATCTAACACGCGGGCGACTAACCGAAGGAACAGAGAGGCAGCGCGATCAACAGTTGTAGACGCTAAAACGTATGCCATTCATTTTAGATCTTCACAGATTATTTAACATGAAATGTTAACACCGTAAACTGACGAATTGTTCTTTTGTTCTATGCAGAATTCGAGTGTACATCAAAATGTTTCTGATGACAGGAATGGTGGAATTTGTTGCGGAAATTATTGTTTGGAACGTTTCCTACTATTCGTGGAAAAGCATTTCATTTCTTCCTGATCACATTCTGTCGTACCGTGCCACGGGCTATGCTGCTGACTGCCTGCGGGCGGCGTGGGTCGTGTGGCTGGCCGCCCCAGAGGAGGGGTACATTGGCGGCCTGCGGCGGCTGCTTGGCAGCGGAACAAGCGGGAGGAAGAGATAAAACACGATTGCATCACTCACAGTTACACCGCAGGATTTTAAATGTTTGCTTCAGATTTTAATTTTCAATAACGAAATTGATTTTAGCCTATATTCTAAAAGACTGATAAACTAAAAGACTGACTTAATAAATGAATGAATCACATGTTTTAATGACGTTGCTTGTGTAAGACGTTAAGTATGATATTTGTTCACAAAATACACTTTCTTTTAGCAGATGAATTCCTTCTTGTCCTCGAAAGGCGCTGACGGTGAAAAGTGTAGCATGTCCTCAATACAAAATATTTTTAACCCTCCGTTACACGCGCTGGGTTTGTGACGCGAGTACACGCGCGCGGACTCGGAGTCGGGAAACTTAAACCACTATCTGCTGCAAAACTTAAATACTATTTTTATAGTTTTTTTTTGTGAATATCAAATAGACTTTGTGTTGCAATAATATCAATCAATTTTTGGGATTAATTTTTCTATTTTCATTAGATTATATATATTTAATAAAATTGCTGTTGAATTGTGATAACGCATATCTCTGCAAGCAGTCTGATATTGAAAAAAACATTACAAAATGTAGGACAGCATACGATACAAATGATAATAGTCAAATAGTCACACAAGATAATATAATAATTAATAATCTAGATACAATGCAATAATAACTAATAATAATAATTACTAATAATAATAATCAATAAGAAGAAGAAGAAGAAGAATGCATATGGAGCAGGTGTGTGTATGTTCAAATAAAATGTTTCAAGGAATATGAGATAAAATAAAAATTGCTGCCAAAAAGTTAATAATGACGAGCCCTGTGACCAAACGTGTTTGATGAAAATTTCATTTCAATATCTTGAACAATTAACATTAGAAAATACTAGAGGTTGAGTTTTTATTGAATAACTTTGTGTTTTTAAAACTAATTGAACCATAAATCTGCCACAATATTAGAGTTGTTGATATGCAAAAAATTTGAAATTTTATACAATTTTTATGATAGAAAAATATTAATGCACTTATCTGATAGTCAAACATTGAAGAACTATTTGAGAAATGCATAAACATTTTGTTTAAATCATTAATAGTATGTTTCAATAGTAACACTCATAAGGAACGTGAGAGTAGAACCGACCCATGCTCCGCATCGCTAAATATTTTTCTGTGGGCAATGTCTGCAACGATTGAGAAAGATTTTTCGACATCACGGCTGATGAAGATAGAAGAAGCGCAACTCAATACCTTCTAATAACTGCCAATGAGAAGCAAAAAATATAAAAGTGCTGAGCCTCAGTCCGCGTTCGTGTAACTGAGGGGAGCAAAATAACATAAATTTTTGTTTGTGTACTAATTTTTATTTATTAGTGTCGTGAAAAGTTGACATTCACGGCTGACTCCACACGTATCTCCTAATGTATCAGCTGCACGTTCAATATTCATCGAATTTTACTTTCTTGTATATGTACGTATATATGGAGAAATATATCAAATACGTAGTATAGAGAAAGTTATGTAATGCTCCGGAAAATCGACTTCGATATTTCAACGGAAATACACGTTTTGGGGCCCCCTGATACCGAAAAGAGTTGTTTTTTTACTTAACGCAACATTTGTGTGACAGAGGCTTAAACTCTTCGATTTTTGCAAAAATAAATATTCCCTGGTTGGTCTGGGGACTCGAAACGGTTTTGAAAAACATTCTTCAAATTTTGAAGGAACATTACATGACGCCCCTGGGATATTCTCATTTTTTCTCAAAAATTTTTCCAAATTATTTATTTAAATTTCTTTCAAGGGATAGAGTGAAAAATGATTAAAGATGGCATAGGTCCTAAACCTAAAACTATCATTATAATTTCAACAGTTAAAAATGCTACGTAACCTTACAATTTATTCTATTTGTAAATAACAATAGCTTTATTGTCTTAATGACAATGTACTGTAACAAACGTTTCTATTGGCTGCAAACGAAAAAGTGCGCTAAGTCTTGGCCGCCTGCCGGGCATCCCGCAGTAGTCAGTGCCAGAGAATCTTTGGTGGCAGGCGCATCCTAGTCGCACAAGTTCGTACTCATTCTTTTACTTTTCACATCGCAATGCACGCGTGTGCAAGTTATTCAAAGTCAGTACTATAGTTTAGTGTATTGTACAATGTGCTGATTATCTTACTTTAATAATCAATTAAAGAACAATAGCATTCGCATTCCCGTGCCTTGCCACGTCGCGACCATTTCATGCTCACTCCACATCGCTGTGTATTCAATATTCACGTGAGCAAGACTACTGATTTGCTACTTCTGTAGTTCGTGTACAACGAACTAATCGTTCTAATTACAATCGCCTGAAGTGTGAACTAATTATATATCACGTGACTGTATGTATATGCTGCAGAACTCTTAGTTTATTGTTGCAGTAATTATTTCATTCGTGCGTATTACTAGAAAGTATTGTGTTCATGTTTCTGGTTAAACAGTGACTGTACAGGCAAGCATTCTAGCAAGAACATGTTATTTCATATATCGTGGACAAGCTCACGATTCCCAGCGTGCGCCAACCTGCCATTCAGCCTCTGGGGTAACAAGAAATACCCATCTGGACCACTGGAAGTAACTCACTGCATCAGCACGCACGGTGCTTCTTCCAGACGTTGCATGTAAATTTTCTATGTCTTTTCTTACAACACTACTCATCAATTCCAGTGTGAATCACTCACAATTGTTTTTTTTAAATTTTTTTCATACCAATCATAGACTGTATCGGTTGCATGCCTATTAATCACGGCATATCATGCCAACAATCAATTGCATCATTTGTGTTAGTAGAATTCAATGAAGTATGATTTCAAGCAGCATACCAGGTTCATAATTCAACTTTTGTAACCATTTAGTGGTTCAATTACATGTATCAACAACATTGCTTCTATTTATTTCTAAGTGATGGTGGCACACTCCCAATTAATTAGCTTTCAGTTATATATAAGTTCCACAAGCTTCCAATTTGTGGTGGTCCTTCGTCTTCGTCGTATGTACGTTTTTTTGAAAATTTTAGTATTTTTCAAGCAATGTTGAATGAAATATGGGCAAATTATAACTTCAAAACAAGAAATGTCAAAGACGGCTCAATTTTTTCTTTTAAACTTTTGGAAGGGATTGTGATAAGGTACATTATAAGATGACATAAACGCCATTTTGGTGTGTTCTTTTGTTGTTGTTTTTTATTTAAAACTTACACCAATGTAATTTTTTTAACATCTCTCTCACGTGATTAATGCATACGAGTATACATTACCGGCGATATCTATACACTATTGCATTTATAAGAACATGTGCTTCAAATTATGTCTTACAAAGTTTCTTGAAAACTCAAAAGTTTTCTGTTAAAATATGCCCGAAATTCCGCATTTTCAGAAACTCTGAAACGCTATTTTCTCAAAAACGGCTGCAATTTTTTCTTTACGTTTTGTTTGACCGGATCGTATTAAATTGACTGATTACCAGGTCATTATTACGACTTTGAGGTTTCTTCGACTTTCTTTTTTCAAAAATTAAACAAATATATTTTTTTAAATTATACAAATATATTTTTTGAGACATTTTCACGCCGTTAATACCAGCGATTTGAATACATGACTATATTTGTGAGTTGAAATGCTTCAAATGACTTTAAATGAACTTTCTGAAAAGCTCAAAAGTCGTCTATGAAAATCATCTTGAAACTTCGCTTTTACAGAAATGCTTAAACGACATTTTCTGAAAAACGTCTCCAAATTCTACAATGAATATTTTCAGATAGGACCAGAATTTACTCGCCCATAATGTTTTTAAAGTTATATTTCAATTTACTATATGGGACCGAAAAATTGAGAAAATGTAAAGAATGGATTTTAAGTGCACATAGATAGTAGCTGGATCAAAGTTGGGGCAAAATCGAATAGGTAGCCCACAGTAGGGAACTAAGTAGTACGAGAATCTGTGTAATTCTGTAGCCTCTCTAGTTTATTTATTTGTTTCGTCGGAAGGACGCTTAAAATGGCGAAGGCCTCGTTTTCGTTGAAGTCTGAATATTTGAAAAATACAAAAGTTACTGATAATGTGAGAAAGTATACGTTGTAGCATTACTTATGGGAGCTTTGCAGCAGGATGGTAGGATCGAGTGCATGGCTCTATAAGCTGCTCTTTCAACTAGGTGACCGCTTTAGACATGTGACACTTCGTCATTCCGTCAAGCGTCAGGCGTTTATGAGACATTTGGTGGATGTTGTAGACTTCCAATGTGAGCTAGAGGAAAATAAAGGCAAGCTAAACAAATATATCTTTCTCTCTTATGTCATCTCAAGTGGACTTATGTAATTCGATATTTTGCATGTCTCTTGCTGTAGTTAATGCAATTGACGTGTTTCCTCTGACAAACAAGGCGCTTTCCGGGCCCCGCTTATAAGAGAATGACGAAATACGTGGCCCCCGCGGTGACGAGCGCTCCGAAGAGCTGCAGGTCGAGGTGGAAGAAGCCGCACGAGATGGCGAGGGGCCAGGCGCGCGTCCGGCGGCCAGCAGCTCCGCCTCAGGGCGAAGGCGGCCGCCCCCGCCCCCGCCCCGCCGCTGCCCCTCCCCCGCTGGTGCGCGGCTGCGTCGCGGGCGTCGGCGCCCGCGAGGAGCACCGCCCGCGCGCGGGCTGCAGCGCCGCGGCGCGCGCGACGCGCATGGCACGCCGCCAGCAGCCGCGCGCCCATCACCAGCGCCCACCCGCAGCCGTTCGCCAGAGACACCTCGCCCGCGCCACCGCCATGCGCTCTGCCGGCGGGCTCCTGCTGCGGGGGGGAATCCCGCGGATTAGGAGAGTCTGCTTGCAGATTAGAATTTCTTATCTGTCGGTGATGGGACATAATATAAACGGAGGAATGAAGCATGCGTCATGCAGTATGAAGTGATATGTGTAACTTTGTTTTAGGAACACAGAAGCACACAGATTATGCGTCTCGGTGTAACAACAATACATAATTCTGTCAATGTTTAATAATCTCGATCATTTAAAGAATTCATCTCAGTTCAATTCAGTAATGCCTTGGTGAGGTTCAAGGCATCAGGTCTGTACGTCCTC